GGGGGCTGGAGTAGGCCGGGGGTGGAACTGGGCATCGACACACCAGCCGCCTGATGCTGGACAGCTGGGCGCCCCGCTTCAGCTTCCATGTGACAGGTGGAGCCCTAAAGCCACGTTCTGGGCAGGAGGATGGCTTCTGGGGACGCAGTGCACACCCGATTTAGACAGACGTCTCCGCAGGTCCCAAACCAGGCCCCCTAACAATGGCCTTGGGGGCCGACGAGGCGGACACTCCTCTCCACATCCTTCAGCATCTGGCACCTACATGCGTCGCTTAATGAGGAGTTTTTAAAAGAGAAAAACCACTCGTATTTCTTTTCTACTCAACAGAAAACCTCCCGCAACAGCAGTGAACTGATTTCTGTATTTCCAATACACGTGCCTCTTTGTGCCGATCGGTCCGGAAAACCCGCCCCTGCCTTGCCTGCCTTCGGGTCTCGTCGGACGACCTCCCCGCACCTGCCCGATTCGAGGCGTGAGGGTTGGCAGAAGAGGCCGGAGCACCGCTCGTCCGCCTCGCCCGCCTGCCACACGTCCCTGTGGGCACCAGGCGCCCCTCGCTGGGAAAGGCTTTCTGGGCAAACGCGGACAGAGGGGGCCAGTCCTGTGGTCACCGCCCGAGGCCCGGTGTGCGGACGGAGCCCCCACTGCCGCAACCATCGCAACAATTTGACATCAGGCCAAGTCCTCCACGTGAGTAGAATTAGTGCTAAGGGGTTAAAGGTTACTCGAGGGCGTGTGGACACGACAGAGGTGGGAAGTTGAGAAGGGCATTAATATTATCACGTAATATTAATACGGAGCAGTTCACAGCAGCATGCAGGGAGTCAATGGCAACGCGGGGGGGGGAGGGGGAGGGGGCCAAGTGAAAACTCACATCTGGGTGCGGGATGGCGTACTGTCCCTGGATCGTGTAGGCCTGGGGAGAGAGACACTGTCAGCTGGCGGAGTGGGGCCCTCCCCGGCAGCACGGCCGTCTCCTAGGTGGGGTGTGCGTGTGAACTGGCCCCAGGCCCTGTGGTTACAGCGGCCCCTACTCACGCGCATCCCCACCTGCCCATGGTGTAGGATGGAAGAGGTATCAAGCCTCGCCGGCGCCCCCCGCTGGCCAGAGCAACTAGACACGTGAGCTAGGGAGCTGCACCCCACTTCCTCCAAGGGCTGCAAGACACAGGGACTGGCCAGGTGAGCTGGGAGGGAGGGAAACGACTCATCCCGAAGCTTCTGACCCCCGTGCCCCTCGTTTCTTAAAAGAAACGACTTACTAATGCTCTCACTCCCATTACAGAATCACTAGTTGTTAACCTTTCGAAAATTTAATCAACCATAAAAGTAAACACTTAGGAAATATTTACTCCAAAAAAACCGACACAAAAAATCTTTAAAAGGTAACCCCAAACCAGTTTTGCAAAAGCCAATTAAGTAAGAAATACAACCAAATCAGCCAGAGGACTGACGGTCGTTCAGCCTCTGAGGGTGAGGTGGCTGTTCTGACTTGGGGCAGCACGCTCGTGGCGCAGCTCCCTGAGCGGCCGGGGTGCGTCCTGAGGCCCCATTTTGGTTTCGCAGTTGCACTGGCCTTCGAGGCAGTGACTGGGCACAGCCACGTGAGTGTGGGGCCCTGCGGCCTCTCCCACCCCCCACTATTCAAACACGGACAGGCAGAGGCCCCGCCCACCCCCACCCACCTCAACAGTCCCTCAGCCAAGAGGCTTCCAGAAACTGACGGCCAGGAAACAAACCACACGGAGTCAAGGGAGAGTAAGACCGAAGACTTGCCATCAGGCCTCGGTGACGTGGAACGTGCTCACAGCCCCGGGCGTGGGGTGGCGCGGCTGTGGGGGGGGCGTGGCTGCCAGCGCCCGGCCACAGGAACCTGGGTCGCATCCTAAGTGGATACTTGACACCCACTGAGCCCACACGTGGAGTCAGTCCCTGCACATCTGGGAGGGAACCCTCAGGCCAGCCCACAAGTCACTTCTGCAGACCTCAGAGTGAGGTGCTGTCTCAGATCCTGACAACCGCAGGTTTGAGCCTGCTGAGTTTTCGTCATCGACAGCCCTGCGGGGGAGCTAGGGCCTGGCCGGCCACTGGACAGGGACCACGGGGATGTGGCTCAGTCTGCAGCAGGGCCCGTCCACTGGCGTGTCACCAGGAGGTAAATGAATCCTGTCAGATGCGGCAGGTGGCCCAGCGAGAGGAAGGGGCCACAGGAGCTGGTCCAGACCTCGCCTTCAGGTTCTGTGGAGCTGCCATCAGGCCATGCTGCACTATGTCACCAAATGTGACAGGCCCTGGGACACACGCTGCCCCCGTAGAGCCGGGCGGGTCTGTGACAGGTTGGATCCGCAGCCTGCAACCCCGCGTGTCTGAGCAGATGACAGGGGGGTGGCTTGCCCGACTCCTTAGGTTCCTGCCCCCTCCTTCGTTTGCTCGGGCCGTGTGGTCTTCAGCTCTGTGCGGCCTGTGTGCGCGCCCCCCGTCCTCTCCGGAGAGAGGCAGAGGACAGCAGTCACAGAACAGGTCTGTGGAGGCCAGACCCGCAGCGTCCGGGCCAGGCTGAGCAGCAGGAAGGGCACTGCCGGCTGAGCCGTGCCCCAGGACTCCAGGGGTGCGTGTCGCCAGCGCAGGCAGACCCCCGACGGCGGGGGCATCCTCCCAGAGGCAGGTCAGGGCAAGGCGCTCAGGCCACACACCTCTAAGGGCTGGCTTTGCAGCGGGTCCTACGTGGGTGGGGTGGGGCTGGACTCTGGAGGGGACCCCGGGCCGCATCAGGTCTCGCTCACGCCGTCGTTTCGGAGTCCGTACTGTGTGCGGCTCCTCGGCCTGGCTCTCACTCTCGTGTGGCTCTGTCCCCCCGTGGACCACCAAGACAAGCCGCAGGCTGGACCAGACTGTCCCAAGGACACAGCACTAGGTTAAGATGCCGACGGCCTGGTGACAGCCTCGGGACAGGGGCCGCGATGGCCGTGACTGAGAGGTGGGCCTCTTGCCCCTGCTCCACAGATGGGGTGATGAGCTGGTGGGGGCTTGGCCACGCAGCTTCCGGCCCCCATGTGTGTCAATGTGCCTCACCGTGTGGCGGTGCGGTTGGGACCACACAGATGCCTAAGCCGCTGTCCCACCACGACTGTGGTGGGATGAGGAGCGGAGTTCTGAACGCGGCCCGCGGTGACTGCCCACCACCTCCCCAGGGTGGCCGAGGGGGCATGGCTGCGGGTCCACTGGTCCCCGCCCCAGGGTCTCGCTTTCCGACCTGCCCCATGAGGACGTGCCCATGTCCGGGGCTATTGCCGGTGACCTATGGGTGTGAAGACCTCTGCAAGGGTCAGGGCTGTCGGGAGACTCCAGCGTGACTGGGGCTGGTAAGAACATCAGTGGGGCCTGGGCGTTGGGATGGGAAAGCCAGGGGACCCACGCAGGCCACTGGGAGCCACCGCGTCCCTCACGTGCTCCTGAAGACACGGAGACACAGCCCTTGCCCTCACCCACGGCGGGATCAGGCCTGAAGATGAGACGAGACTCCTCTGTGCAGAAGAGGAAACGCGGGAGTCTGCCGTGGGCCTCTTCCCGCCCCGCCCCCCATCTTAATGTCGCCGTCCTGGCCTGTCCCCTCGGCCCCGGCCCCTGGCAAGTCTCCGTCTTGACTCTCCCTTGAACAGACACACAACACGCCGACTGGACGCAGAGCTCCTCCAGGCACCCCTGCCAGGCGTTCCCAAGTCCAGCTACCTGGCCGAGCGACCCTGGACAGGGCGGGGCAAGCCGAGCTGCGGGGACACCCCGGGCCCGGTGCCGCTGGTGAGGAGACGGGGCATGGCTCCCTCTGCTCAGCTCCCTCTAGGCCCTACCAAGTGAACCGCCACTTCAGCTGAAGCTTCTCGGCCGCCCTGCCTCCCAGGCCCTTCCTAGTCCGGGGGGGGCGCAGAGGCTCCAGCCCCAACGACGGGCGTGGGCGGTAGACGCCCAGCCTGCTGGGCCCGGGAGGGCTGTCGCCCAGAGGGGCACCCTTTCCCTCCTGGGGGCACGACGAGCCAGCTGTCCGTGCCCCGGGGACTCGCCCATGGGACGCTGGGAGCACGTGCTTCGGGGGAAGACGGGGCCCATGCCCCTCTGGACTGCACCCCACCACGAGCAGGAAGCCGCCTGGAAGGCTCCCGCCCTCCGCTGCCGCCTCCTGAACACAGCGCACTGGACACCAGTGGGCGCGGCCCAGGCAGGACCAGGTCCCCGCACCACGTCAGGGAGATGGCCGCTGGGGCCGGGCCACACTGGACGTCGCCTCAGCCGGCTCCGTCCGCCAGACGCCACCCGCTCGGCCCCTGCCCGGGGCCCGCGCCCACCCGCGTGTGCCCGGTGCCGGGAAGTGCCAGGAGAGCTCTGCGTCCAGCGCGGGGCCGGGAGACGTGCACGTGAGAAGGGAGAAAACCTGAGTGCACTAACGGGCAGCGGCGGGGGCTGCAGTAAAAGGCTGAGGTTGGCAGTGGAGGCCGCGAGCGGGTCGGCTCTTACCTGACCACCTGCAAAAATGACAGGGGTGGAGGCGGGCTTTGGGCGGTAGGGAATGGTGGCACCTTTCGGTGGGGACTAGGAAAAGGGACAGGAGAGGGAGAGAGAACGTTAGATAGCCTCGCAGCAGTCCTGAGGGTGGGGAGACCTCCTTCCCGAGCCCACCCCCACTGCGCCCACCTGCCCAGTCCCCTAGGCCAGCGGTGCTGGGGTCGGCCCAGGACGGAAGGGCCGCCTGCCCAGGGCCACGCCCTCAGCACCTGTGCTCTCCAGGGTTTTTTTTTAACCCCTGCCCCAGACTGCCCGCACAGGTGTGGGTCACACCAGCAGGACAGAGTAAGAGAGGGCGGGGCCCCGTCTTCATCTGCGGGACCCCACATGCTATGTGGACAGACGGACGGCCGCCTCCAGGCTGGGCGCTGTCACTCCACTCCTGTCAGTGGGTGGTCCTGAGAGAAAACTCTAGAATCGTCCAGAAAAGCCTCTGTGCAGCCCCGCTGTGCACACTTCAGGCCCAGTGCCCAGAGGCTTTGCTTGACCTCCAGTGACGTCCAGCAGATGTCACCACAGCAAAGGTAGAAACATCTGATTTTACTATTCGAAAAAGGAGCCATTTTCTAAAAAGCTTAGAATCCAAATAAGCCAGTCACGGTGAGGTTTGCTGCAATTTCCTTTGATTCTTCTGCGTTCAAACGTGTAGGGTTCTTGTCTTCCGGTGAGTAACATTCTCAAGGGCTGGATTCTGATAAAGTCAACCTGACTCCTTGGCCAGAGGCCACCAGGCCCTTCTTGTCCCCCGGAGCAGGTCAGCCTGTGGGTCCTTCCCAGCTGCGGAGGCCACAGGCCAGGCCCCGCAAGTGAGTCTGGGAGTTCAGGAGGCCACAGCCCATTCAGGCCCAGCAGACACCCTGGCCAGGCGGGTGTGACCTCAGAGTGCCCCCACCCAAGACACACATGGCCATATGGGGACAGCAGAGCAGGCAGCAGCTTCCACTCCACAGCCCAGCCCACACCATGCAACCTTGAGCAGACCGTGCGACCTTGGCTGTGCGGCGTGACCTTGCCGTAAAGCAGGGGGCTGCAGGAGGGCCTGTGAGCTGACGCCGACTGGCGTCTGGGGTTCAGTGTGTCTGCGGTTACGACCGAACGCCTCCGGAAGCAGCTCCGTGGACTCAGCAGATGCAGGGCTCACCGCGGAAGAGCCGCGCCTCGCCCGAGAGTGAACAAGTCACTGTTTTCACTGTGTCAAGCACAGAACTCGGCCCGGCTGCTGCCCGCCCCCCACCCCGCGCAGTGCGCTCCTCAGCCCCAGCCTGTCGCCCGGCTCCGCAGTGCCCTGACTGCACCGATGGCAGTGTCTGCCATCCTGGCGCCGTGCGCTCTGTCGGGCGTCTTGCCAACTCTGGCCTGTGATCCCCGAACTCTTGGCCTCCTCCGACGAAGGAGGGGCCCCCTGAGCAGAGGGGGCCCCTGCTCCCCACGGGCCCCGGTTCGGCCGCGCTCGGCAGCCCTCTGGTGGCGCTTGCAGGGGTCGAGGCCCACGCTGTGGCACTCCGCCCACCGGCCCGGTCACTCTTCATGTGGCAACGCACGACTCTTCCTCCCAGGCAGGACGCTGCTCCAAGACCTTCGTGACACTAGCGAGATGCAGCGTCACTGCAGCCCCATGCTCATCACTCACGTCTGCCACGTGTACTCAGTGCTTATCGTCCAAGTTAGCCTCTGGCCATCATGAAGGACATGGGACAGCTGCCGCCATGACCTGGGCGCACCAGCGCCCCACAGCCAACGGGGTCAAACCCGCTTCTGGAGGCCGTCTGACCAACAGCGTGGCACAGGCGGTGCCACACGGGAAGAGTCCCGAGGAGGCCATGCGCTCTGCTCTGACGCTTGACCGCAGACGTGGGAGGCTGTGCCTCTCCTGGGGCTGCCATAATCAATAGACGGCCATCTACCAGCACGCGAGTCCCGTGTCTGTCGCCATCTGCCACACGGCCCTTCCGGGGTCCCGGGAGCCGGCGGCTGAAGGGAACGTGGGCCAGCACCGATGTTACCACGACCAGAGGTTGGGGACACTTCAGAACAATGACATTAAACAATATTTTTGACTTCACAAAATATTGGGCTTCAGGTAATTAAAAAACATACAAAACTTTTTAAGGAGTGGACATGGGTTTCAGCACCAAACTGAGAACAGAGGGCCGAACCCGGCCCAGGAGGCTGGCGCTGCCGCTCGGGCAGACCGGGCTGGGCCGGGCGGCTGGGACCAGCACAGCTGCTGGCCCTCGCTTGTGGCAGGGCTCCCTCATCGTAGCTAAAAGAGACACTGAAACCTCCACAGCTTTGTGGTCTGGCTGCGTTCTGGGGACTTGTTAAAATTTAAATCTCAGGGATTTTTCCTTCCGAAAGTGTCAGGAGGGGCTGCATCTGGCTCTGCTGCACCTCCGCTGCCCGCTTTGGCTCTGAGCGCTTTGTTCATTTCTGTCTTTACAGCTCGGGCATTTGCGTGCGCTTTCCCTGAACGCTGCCCTTTGCACTGCGCTGGGGCGCTGGGGCCTGTGGGCTCTGCCCCCCCACCCCCATCCCCCTGCACGCGGACCCTCCCCAGAGCAGACTTGTGCCGCTGCTGAGACCCCTCTCACCCCAGTTCCAGGAAGGAAGGGAGGGGCCCACACCCCACACCCCCAGGGCTCACCAGCCCTGCCTCCCCCCCTCTTCCCCCCCGTGGTGCCGCCTGGCGCCCGCATCAGGAACCTGGGCCAGACTCCTGATGCCCAACCCTCACAGCCCTGACCTCATGAGTCCTCAGGGGCCGAGGCGCCAAAGCCACCACCACCGCCTCTGCCGAGAAGCCACAGCCAGCACGGTGAGGGCGGGCCGGCCACAGGCGCAGGCGCAGGCGCAGACACCGTACCTCCAGCATGACCACACAGATCTGCTTGACACACTGGATGATGGCGTCGGGGGTCCCCGAGATGGTCACCGCCCGCTCCGTGGAGTTGGGCAGCATGTCCCCGGCCACCTGCACCTGGGCTCCTGTGGACTGGAGAAATCGACATTGGAGGGCGGGGTGGAGGGCGGGGGCCGCATGGCGGGGTCTGCCGAGCACCAGGCACCGGGGAAAGCCCGCCCAACGCAGACCCATGGCACCCTCTCCTCAGCCCACAATCCCCTTGGGGAGCCCCGTGGGTGAGTCTGGCCCACCCTGGCCTGTGCTGCCCAGCGCAGGAGGCTTTTCAGCCAGGGACAGACATCGGCAGGGGACGAAGACAGAAAGGGAGCCACTGTTTTCAGCGACGTGAAATTCTATCTCCTCTGCGGAGTTTCAGGTCACAGAGAAGGGCGGGTTCTAGAAGGGCCTAAGCAGCCCCTTCCTGTGAAGCAGTCAAGACCTCGCTCCTAGGAGCAAGGGTTCAGGCCTTCCCTGAAGCGAGGGAGCGTGTGACTGTGAAGGCCGCACCCCGGGCCACCCCCAGCCCAGCTGGGACCACGTGTACTCTCCCAGGAAATGGGGGGCAGGTGCCCTGGCCCAGGAGGCACACGCCCCCACCACACTGCCCCCACCCAGCGGCCGGGCACTCGCCAGGCGGGTGAAGGTGCTGTTACCTCCCTGATCTCCTTGATCTTGGAGCCGCCTTTGCCGATGAGGGAGCCGCACTGGCTGGCAGGGACCACCAACCTCAGCGTCACCGGGGGCTTGCTGGTGGCGGGGCTGTTGCTCATGGAGTTGATGATGTCCTGGGGGCGGGATGCACGTGTTGGCCGACAGCACACGTCTGAATGCTGAGCGCAAGGGCCCGGCTCCGGGGGGCGGGCGGAACAGGCCTCGGGAGCCAGCGGTCAGGGCTCTGCCCACGGGAGAACAGGTGCGAACACGCACACACCCCGAAAACGTTGTGTGTACACAGCGAAAGGACACAGCACCAGGCGGGGTTGGTCACAGAGGCTGGAAGGCCAGGTCAGGCTCAGGAGGACTGGTCAGAGGGGACGGGGTGCTGCTGTGGAGGGGGCGGGGCACAGGTCAGAGGGCGCCAGCACTGAGGGCCTGACCTTTGTCCTTAAGGCCTGGTGGGGCATGGGGGGTTTGGACTGACAAGTGACATATTTTTGACAGAAAAGTTTATTCCCTAGCTTGATCATCTTCTTAGTAAAAACACTGAATGCATCTCTAAATAATTTTTGGCAATTTCAAAAAAATTAGAAACACATAAAAACCTTAAGATGTGACTCACGAAGTGGCAGACACAAACGCACACGTGTTCACGTGTGTCAGCAGGGGCCTTTACCGCTGTGTCTGCGTCCCTTTACCTGTCCACATCTAAGGGTGGGGCGGCCGCTCCAGAGAGGGCTGAGGACCCACCCCTCAGGGAGGCGAGCAGGCCCAGGAGGAGGGGGGCGCTGGCCCGTGACCAGGTGGACCAGCGTGGGAAAGCCCTGGGAGACAGGGGTGAGAGGAGCTGGTGGGCAGGGCCGTGACCTTGCCCAGGCGCAGGGAAGAGGGGGCATCTCACCTCCTCAAACTTATAGGCGATCATGGCAAAGGCCTTGAAGATGGCGTCGGTGGGGCCCGTGATGGTCACGATCCTTTCCGGGCAGTTCCCCTCTGAGATGTTGATCCTGGCACCACTCTAGAGGGGCGGGGAACAAAGCCTGGACGCTGGAGCAAAGTTGCGCCCGACAGCGGACGTGGGCTTGCGGGGGACACCTGGTGGGCCGACCTTGACGCTAACTAGTGAAATTCTTCCCAGTACTGCCCTCGAGGGGGAGATCTCAGTGGGAGGAAGGACTCGGTGGTCCCACGGCAGCCGCCCAGCATGGCGGGGCCCAGCGTGTGTGGGGGCCCTCCGCGGTGCTGTGCGCCCAGGGCGACTGCACCGGGCCGCTCCCCGACATCCCCCGCACACGGGGCTCCCGGCTGGCCCGAGCACAGAGCGGTGCCGGCCCCCGCCTGCCCCGGGGCTGGGGTCCCACGAGGGCGCGCCCGCTCACCTCGTCACGCATCTTCTTCACGGTCTCTCCTTTCTGGAACAGAAATTCAGACACAGGGATGCGGGTCACCCGGGGGCCGCGCCAAGCACGCAGAGGGCTGGGTACCACCCCGGGCTGTGGAGAGCCTGCCGCACACTGTGACCCGCTAGGCGCTCAGCCCACAGAGGACGAGACCTGGGCACTCGCCCGGGGCATGTAGCTCCGAGTGGGGGGCTTGGGGACCCGCCTGGGCACCACACTGGGCCAGGGCAGCGGCTCCGCGGCGTGGAGATGGGAACGCACCCAGGCGCACGGCCGTCCCCCTGTTCAGCACGGGGAAAGCGGGCACATGGACCCTGGTGGCGGTCCCGAGGCACTGGAGAAAAGCGCCAGCCTTGAGGGGGAGGCGCCTCCACGGCACAGGAACCCCGTGGGACCCAGGGACCCCAGAGGGAGTGGGGGTGCGAGCAGTGGGTGGCACGACCCCCCGTGGGACAGGCCCCCCCTCAGAAGAGCCGTGCAGACTCACTCCCCCGCGCTGGCCGAGGGGCAGCTGCTCAGGGTGCGAGTGCGGGGACTGTGACCAGCGCTCACTGGGGGAAGGACTGGCCACCGGCGCACGGGAGACGGGGCTGCCCAGGTCGCCAGCCGGGGTGATCAGCCAGGGCCCACAGGACTACCCCGGGATCCTCACGCACGCGGCACTGCTGCCCCACACTCACCCCCAGCACCGAGACCCCGACAGAGGCGGAGGGCCCCCAGTAATTACCTTCCCGATGATGCTTCCCACTTCCTGCAGGAAAAATCACAGAAACCCGACGTCATGCAGCAGCAGGAGCCCCCGTCCGTGTGACGCGGGAGGAAGGGGGCCAGAGGCGGGCAGGAGGGGGTGTGCGGCCAGGCCGCCTGTGTGGGGGATCCCTCCGTGCCCAGCTGAGCGTGGCCAACCCAGGCCCGCCTCTGACCGACGGGCAGCCGCGCAGAGGAGCGGGCCAGCTGCCTCCCGGTGACCGGTCAGGCGGTGGCCTGCGCACGAAGGCGCGGGGAGGCCCTGCGTGAAACCGGCGGTCAGCGGGGTCCCCTCCATTTCACGGGGTAAGTGAACGTGGCACTGCTGTCACTACTGGACTTCTAGAAGGCAGAACATCCAGGAGCTAGCACACCCTCAATCTCGCCGCCACAGTTCTAAAGCCCGGAGCCCGTGACAGCGTGGACACGTGTCCCCGCCAGGCCTGCTCATCACAGCACCTCCTGCCTGATGTCACGACGGCAGGGCCAGCCTGCTCCAGTCCCAGAGAACATTTTCGATCCTTCCAAATCAAACCCATGGTCCTTATTGCAACGAAGCCCTCGGCAAGTACAATGCTTCCACTAGGCTATGGGCATGGGTATGCAGTGGGGGCTGGGGTGGCCAAAGGCAGCTGGGCACGAGGCAGTGGCCCTCCGGTGGTCAGCCAGGGTACCTCGCCTCTCGCAGGCGGGGTATGGGGCTTGCTATGGCGGCTGCTGCTGGGGCCGGGGCTGTGTGGCTGACCCTGTGGACTGCCCATGTGGTGCACACCCAGCTTCCACAGCCTGGACCAAAGGCTGCACCCAGCAGTGGGGAGGAAGGGCTGGTCGCCCTCCCTGCGTCACTGTGAGGGATGCTCTGAGTGGAAGCACGCTCCAAGCCACAGTCTTCTGGAAATCTAGGGTGGGCAGAGCCATCGGCCCAAGGCCAGAGCCAGCACACACACTGGGCTCAGGCTTCTCACGGCACACGCACAGGTGGCGGAGGAGCTAGCACAGACCCTGCGCCACTGGACTGGAATTGGGGGTGTGAATGCTGGGGTCTCAGCTATGGAGATAAATACGTAAACAAACATCACACAAATGCGGGGCACATGTGTGACCGTGCGCATGCACGTGCGCGCACACACACGCACGCACGCACGCACAGACACACGAGGCTCACGTACAGGCCCCCGGCGCTGTCTGGAGCCCACAAGAGCCCGAGTGACAAGCACCCCACGGGCCCTGATGCAAGGAGTCAGGCCTCGCTGGAGAAATGGCTGAGTCCAGGAGCGCGGCAGGGAAGGGCGCGTGGAGCCATGAGCAGCGCGTGCTGTGAGGACGCTCGGCCGCGTCACGAGGACACAGGAGCCGGCCTGGAGGGGGCCCCGCGGCCGAGTCGGGGACTACGCGAGTGTCAGCATGAGCGGTGACATGATGGGGAGCCAGACGGCTAGAAGAGCGCGGATGTCCTGAGAGCTGATGACAAAGGGGACATTTACACGGCGTCTGGCACCCCAGTAACGGCTGCCTACCGATGAGGGGGGAGAAGCAGCCCTGGCAGACTCCTGGCAGGTGCCCCGACCAGCAGGTGGGTCACCAGACACCTGCAGTCTGGGCCAGCTGGAGCAAAGCTCCTATGACCTTCCTGCCAACAGCGAGGAGACAGAAAAAGCCAATGCAAGGGACATTCTACAAAGGAACTGGACGGAAACTTCTGACGGTGAAGGCAAAGGACGACCGGGCAGGCCCTCTGGGGAGAAGGGAACGGAAGGCACGTCGAGGACGTGGAGCGCCCCGTGAGGAAGGGCAGTGTGGGGTGCCCGGGGACCGAGGGTGGGGCCGAGGTCGGGTGGCGAGAGCGGGCCAGGGCCAGCGTCCTGACCGGACGGGTGCAGGCGGCGAGGGAAGAGAGAGCCCGCGCGGGCGGGGAGCACACCGGGGTACTCGGCAGCAGGCCGCGGCGTGGCGACGGGTCTCCAAGGCTCCGGGAGATGCGCGCTTTGGGCTGGGCTGCACCTGCTCTGTAAGCCTGAGGCTGCTCAGAATTTTCAAAAGCGGATACAAAACAAAGGCCCCGGCGTGGGTGTGCCCTCCCTTCCTCCCAGCCGGTGTGACGCCTTCGGAGGAGGGTGACGAAGGCAGGGCTTGTGCTTCTGTACCTTTCCATGCATCAGCAGGCGGATTGTCAGGGTCACGTTCAGCCCACCTTCTGAGACCTTGGACTCCATCTTTCTCCCAAAATGCAGCTGGGGGTAGTGGCTTAAGGTGCCAAGGGTGCCGTGAGGAAGGACAGATGGGGCCCAGATGGTGTCACCTGGAAAGAGAAGGCACAGCTGCTGCTGACTGAGAACGTTAAGGGCTAACACACTGGGGGTGTCCTGGCCTCTGGGGGAGCAGAGGCTGCTGGAGAGGCAGAGGTGCAGGGACAGGCTTCCCAGGTGCCTGGGAGTGGCCTGCTGGCCCGGGGTGCACGCAGTAGGGTGGGCCTCGGGGTGGGCTGTGTGATCCGGGCCCAGCAGCCCTCTGGCCTCCGTTTCCACCTCTGTAACCAGAGAAACAGGAGCAGCGCTCACCACGTGGAGGGAGCAGGGCTACCTAGAGACCCCTGGGGCCCCGTGTGCGTACGGGACGAGCCCACGCGACGAGCCCACGCTATGGGGGGGCTGCCTGAGCCTGTCCCCTCCCGCCGGACTCGCACCGTCCAGGCTCCGGCGATCCTCAGCTCTCGGGCGGAGCCAGTCTCTCGACTAAACTGCCACACGCCGGGCGTCCCCTCCACGCGTCTCAGAGGACACTTCACAGCCCGCGTCGCCGTCCGAGGTGCACTTTCTGGGGACGGTCGGTCCAGCGTCTAGCCCACCAGGTGAATGAAGGCCCTGCTTCTTGCGTCGGGAGGTCAGGGAGCCCAAGGATGGGAGGGGAGGGCGCACTGCGGCCACGCGCTGGGGGTGCAGGCCCACGGACCTTGGCCTGACCAGTCCGAGCCCCCCACTCAGGTGTGCACGGGAGTCCTGGCCGAAGCCCCTTCTCGTGGAGGGCCCAGGTCCTCCGAGGGCCGGGTCACCCCACCTCAGTGTACTGAGCAGCCTCACAAGACAGGCACCACTGCGGAGCAGCAGCAAGGCCAGGCGAGGGCTGTGGTGAGCGCGAAGGAGGGGCCCTCAGGGACACGGAGCTGTCTAGGGGGCAGCAGACCCCAACTCTGGGCCTGACTGTGCGTCCCAGGGGTCCTGGGGGAGCGGGGTGTTTGGGTGGCTGTTCTGGGTGTGTGGGCAGACAGCCTCTCGGTCCTCTCCCTGCAGTGCACGCAGGGGGGACTGGAGTCAGCTGGCTGGGTGCAGGGACGTGCGGGGCGCAGGCTGTGTGTGCACGAGGATGCTGCAGGGTGTGTGGGTTTGGGGCACATGGGTGCAGGGACACGCAGGGTCGTGGGGTCGCAGGGAACAGAAGGGAGGGGGAACGAGGGCATGAGCGGGCCCCTCAGGGTCTGTGTTGGGCAGAAAGAGATAGAAAGCCTGGCTGGGGGAAGAGTCCAGGTGACCCGTGGCGCAGGTCTGGGCCCAGAGTTCCACGACAGGCCTCCAGGAGCCACCACCTACCCAGGTGCATACCTGGGCACGTGCGGAGCTGCTGGGACCACGAGGGACGAGACCTTGGAAGCCCTGAGCGGAACCGTGGGCCGGCTCGGTGCGAGATCCTCACACACCACCTCACACTCAGTCCCCTCAGCAGTGACAATGCACACCGCCTGCGTGGCCGCCTCAGCCCCTCAGGAACCAAAAAGTCCCGTGAAGGCTGCGTGCGCCCCCGCGCACCCGCGGGCCATCGGCGAACTGGCCGTGATGCAATCTGCAAAGACGATCCGTCCGCACACAGGACACACTACCGGTGAAAAAGCAGCTGTTCCTTTCACCTTAAAAGTTTTCTAGGGGACAAAAATTGTTTTTTCTTCATCAAAATATTGCTGCTGAAAATATGCTAAAAGGAAAACAAAAAGCATAGAATCAGAGCTTATCCTGTCACCTATGTGACATGTAGGGGACACCTGCAAAGGACAGTCACAGGTAGGTGACAGGCATGGGCAAAATGACGGCTACACGTTTTAAAAAGCTTTTACAGGTAACTTCGACGCACTCAAACTATTGCTTCTAATTATTCATAATAGAACGACACACTCGAACGACGGGGATTTTAACGCGAAGGTATAACGCACAGCAAAGGGAAGCCGAAGGATCACCTCACGCACGGACGCCCCCCTCACCGCCTAGTGCGGCGGACACCGGCCGCACGTGGCCGCTCACACTGAAAGCGAAGAGATCCGCTAGCCACGCGTCAGCCTTGAGCAAACAGCCTACCGTGGCTGCTGGCGGCACGTGCAGGAGCGCAGAGAGCTCTGTCACCCAGAGGCCTCTGGTGCGCAGCGCAGTGCGTGTGACCACCCTGGCAGGTTGGGCTGAGAGTCGGGCCCTTGGGAGGAAGGACAGGATGGAGGCAGGTGCTGTAGCCCCAGTGACCGGTGCAGACCGGATGGCACAGCCCCTTCCTATGGAGACGGAGACAGGACAGGAGGTAAAGATGGGACACAAGACGGAGACGGGATGAGAGATGGGACAGGAGACGGGACGGGAGACGGGACGAGAGATGGGACGGGAGACGGAGACGGAGACGGAGACGAGCCGCCCCAGCACGCAGGGCTGACTCCAGGCTCTCAGCGCTGCTGAGCAGGAGCACGTGGTGACCAGGCGGGGGCGCCACCTCCTTCTTAATTGGAACGGTCTCCTCCTGCGTCTGGGGACAGCAGGGCCCTGCAGCAGTCTGTTATGTAAACGTTGCCAACCCACAGTAGAAAAAGTGGGTCAGCGAGTGCCGGGGGTGCTGCGGGCTCCAGGCTGTCGCCCGCCATCAGTCACACGGGCCAGCGAGCAGCTGCAGAGGCCAGCACCTTGCTTCCTCACACAGCTGAGCGTGAGCATCCCAGTGCCCTCCGCGGGAGGGTGGGGACAAGGAGCAGTCCTGGGTAGTGGTTAAGGTCACCTGTGACTCAGTACCCTGAAGAACCCACCTATGCCAGCCTGTGAGCGGTACGGGGCAAGTGGCTCCCCCAAGACCGAGGGCCTCTCGGCAGGTGCGGGGTCATCCTCTGACTGTCCAGCCAGGCCTTGGGACAGTGGTTCATCACAGGCAACTCAAGGGTGCCGGTCCTCGCTCCCACCTTGCCACCCAGGGGCCGGTGCTGCCCGGGATGCACAGGAGCACGGGGCAGGCGGTGCGGAGGCACGCGGGGCAGCAGTAGCAGGACTCCTGTGGTCAGCCACCCACAAAAAGCCAGAGGGACGTTCCAGAACTGGGCAGATCTGCCTCTCCAGCAAGGACCCTTTCTCTAGTGCTGGGGCCTTGATATATTTTAAATTCAGTCACGGGGCGGAGAGAGGCAGGCCTGGTCCCTCTACAGAGCCTGGGAGGGGACCTCTCCTTGCCCAGCCAGCCTGTGGCTTAAACGTCGCTCCATGCTGACACCACCCACAGATGTGCCTCAGCCCTGGACACGTCCTGCACCCAGCTGTCCCGCCACCCTGGTCTCTAACAGACACACACACTCCACATGTGATTGACACAACTCTCGGCCCAGCCCAGACTCCTGCGCTGTCCCTGTCTGACTCAGCGTCCCTGCCGCCCAGATGCTCAGGTCCACGCCCGGCGGGGGGCCGCGGAGCAGCAGCGCCCCTCTCTGCCCGTCCCAGTCATCCCTGACGCGTCGTCTTCTTCCAGCTTCTTAAGGAAGAAGCGATGACATCAATTTAAAACCTTATTTCTTGTCCAATATAGGTGTTTAGCTCTATAAATTTCTATACACAGCTTTAAGCTGCATCCCACAAATTTGATATTTTGGTTTTTTTTAACTCATTTTAAAGTACTTTTGGATTTCCCTTTTGATTCGTGGGATATTTTGAAGCGTATTATTGAGTTTTCATATCTTTGGAGATTTTCACATCTTTCTTTTGTTGATCTCTAATTTAATCCCATTATGGTCAGAGAACATATTTTGTGCGCGAGATAGTTTAAACTGAGGGAGACGTGCTCACGGACCGGAAAGTGTCCCATCTTGGTGACCGTGCACTGTGTTGAGTGGAACGCCCTACAAAGGGCAGTTAGAGCAAGCTGGATGGCGAGGCCGTGCACGTCTGCCATGGTCCTAGGGTTTTCTGCCGGCTGATTCTATCCAGCACTGAGGGGGCTGTTGAAACCCCTAGCAGAGCTGCGGACCTGTCTGCTTCTCCTGCACGTCTGCGTGTTTTGCTGCGTGTATCTGGAAGCTCCGTGAGGCCCGGGGCGGCCCCTTCCTCGCTGAGAAAGAGCCCCCTGCCTCTGGCCATGCTCTCGGCTCTGACGCGCGCTCCGCGGCTCATGCAGCTGCCCCAGCGTTCTTTTGGTTGGTGTTAGCATGCTGGTATCTTCCTGCATCTTTTATTTCTAAATTATTTGTGTCTGTGTCTTTAAGGTGGGTTTTTTTGTAGGCAGCGTACAGTGGGACCTGCTTTTGTCTTATTTGACAACCTCTGTCTTGTAAGTGGCTGTCTAGATCAGTCACAGTGTTTGCTGACATGGCTGGGTTTAAATCTATCATTCCGTTTGTTCTCTACATTTACCACTCGTTCTTTGTTTCCCCGTTTCTACTGTCCCATCTCTGCCGTCTTCTGGATTAATCACATGCATTTCCTGACGTTGCTTTGCCTCCTTTCCCCCCTTATTAGTTACAGTCCCTGGTTTCATTATCATGGTGGTTGCTTTCGGGTTACACTTACAGGCGTGCGATGTCCAGCGGTCTCTGCCACTCCGCCTAGAACACAGACCCTCCCAGCAGTCGGCTCCCACCTCTGCTCTCGGCCTGCGCTATCACGGTCACACGTGTAAGTCCCTCGTGTTACATCACTACTTGTAATTTAGACAGTCGATTGCCTTTGAAAGTGGGGCTCCCCAACCCCCAGGCCGCAGACCAGGACCGGTTCGGTCCTCAGCCTGTTGGGCACCAGGCCGCACAGCAGGAGGTGAGCGGTGGCCGAGGGCGCGAAGCCCCGTCTGTGTCTGCAGCCGCTCCCCAGTGCCGGCATCACCGCCTCAGCTCCGCCGCAGATCATCGGGCATCGGATTCTTATGGGAGCACCAGTCCCTGGTGCCAGAAAGGCTGGGGACGCTGCTCTAAAGGGATGCATCACTGGAAAGTGTCTCACCCTCCCCGTTCGCGTAGACTCTGAAGTCCGCCCGCGACCGCTTGTCACCCAGGGCCCCCGTGTGCCCGTGGCGGCGCGAGCTGGTGGGCGGTGAGTCCTCTCGGTGTCTGCCCGTCCGCAGAGCCTTCCCTTCGCCTTCGGTTTTGAAGGCTGTTTCACGGGGCAGAAGTTCCAGGTCAAGGGTTTTTCTTTCAGTCCCGGAGAAATGCCATCCTCGCCGTCACTCACTTGGATTCCAAAGAGCAGTCCCTGCAGTCACCCCGCTCTGCTCTCGGGAATGTGTCTTTGTCCCCAGCATATTTTAAGGTTTTTCTCTTCATCACTGGCTTTGAGCAATTTAATCCCACACGTGTGGAGCCCCCTGAGATGGGCCCGCGGCGCCAGGCGCCCAGATGCCACGCCGTCTGTGCCCTGCTGGAGTCGCTCACGTGTCTGTGCTCGGGCTTCTGTGAGCTCGGATCTGTGGCCGTAGAGTTAGCAGGTTTTGTCACCCGCTCACCTTCAAGGCGGGCTGCGTGCGCCTGTGCCTCAGCGTGCTGGGGCTCTGTCCGTCTCCTCCTGCTTTTGTCTCTGTCCCGTGTCGCTGGTTCCGTCTGTCCTAAGTCACTAACCTTCGCTCTGTGATGCTGATCTGCGGTTTGTCCCCTCCAGGAATCGATCTGGGTCCTTTTTCTCTCCTCTTTGTCTCTATTTGTTTCCGGTTACGATAATGATGTCAACACCCACATCCCTCAATTGTACAACTGGGGTCATTTTTGAGGGTAGGTCAAGAAGTGAACCCCGAACCGGGAGAGCGCAGGCCCCTGGTGACTGGGGGCCCAGAGTAGGCCCACAGCAGCCCCTGGCTCAGCCCGCCCCCCCGGGCCGGCCCAGCAGCATCCACGAGCTGGGAATGCGGGAGGCCTCTTCTGGCCTGCTGCCCCTTCCGAGCCCGGGGCTGGCGCGGGACTGGGCTGCGGTGCCACCGACGGGCCCTGCCCAATTCAGTGTGAGCCACAGTGAGATCGGCCGAATCTGAAACCCCCTGGTTTCCAGGTGGGTGACAGCAGCCCATTTAAACCCCTTCTCCCGGCCACTGTGTAGAGAGACACTCGTGACCTCGCTCTGCTGCTGGAGGGCCAGGCCCAGCACGAAGGGCAGGTGAGGGGGCGGCTGGGCTGCAGGCATGGGGGCTGGAGACAGGAGCCCCTGAGCGGGCTCTGTCCTCACATCTCCTGCTCCCAGGGAGGACGCCCGGGGACATGGCCACATCTCCTGTCTCACAGCGACTGGGGGAGGGACTGTCCAAAGTCAGGGCGGGAACTTAAGGGTTGTGGGTGACGGGCTCTGGGAGGAGCCGGCAGCCTCCCCACACCTCACACTGCCCTGCAAG